GGGTCACTGCATTGATATGCTACCCGAATATGTTCCTAAGGATCAATATGACTGAGATGATGGAGATCTTGTTTAGAGAGTGTGAAGGAGCACATGATTATAATGGAATTTGCAAGTATGTACTATTCTCGGTTTCGCGACATTCCTGTGTTCAAGGGACTGGATTGTGCTAACGGTTTTTGATTTAGCACTAATAATCGCTGGTCAATGGTTATCTCACTTGCTATTGCTACAATAGTTCGAGTCCTCCTGGTTATCGTCTCATATGGATGCAAGGTACCCGCTGGAATCTTCGTTCCATCGATGGCCATAGGAGCTTCCTTTGGTCGGATGGTTGGCATTCTTGTCCAAGCTTTATATGAAGCCTTTCCGGATTCGAAGTTTTTTGCTGCTTGCGAACCTGATGTGCCTTGTATCACGCCTGGAACATACGCATTCCTTGGAGCAGGTGCTGCACTGAGTGGGATCATGCATTTGACTGTATCAGTCACAGTGATCATGTTTGAGCTCACCGGCGCCTTAACTTATATTCTCCCAACGATGGTAAGCTAGAAAACCTGCTTGACGCAGATAATATACATCAGTGCTAATCTTCCAAGCAGATTGTGGTTGGCGTAACCAAGGCAGTCAGCGACAGTTTCGGGAAGGGCGGTATTGCAGACCGCATGATCTGGTTCAACGGCTTCCCATTCCTCGACAACAAAGAAGACCACATCTTCAACGTCCCCGTCTCCCACGCCATGACCAGCAAACCCGTCGTGCTTCCGGCAACCGATTTCCCAGTATCCAAAGCCGAGAATCTTCTTCAGCAACACAAATACCAGGGCTTCCCAATCGTTGAAGACCTTACCAACAAAGTCGTTATAGGCTTCATCGGCAGAACAGAGCTTCAATATGCAATCAATCGCGCAAAACGGGAAGGTCTCCTTTCCCCCAACGCCAAATGCCGCTTCACCAGCACCCCTTCCGCTTCTTCCCACCGCAACCGTAACACCGTTCAACCCACAAGCTCCCTGACTCTCCAAATACCCTCCAACCGACAGACCTTCGGATCCAACTCCTCCTCATCCTCCCGATCCGAAGACCACCCCTTCAATTCCGATCACAGCCCCGATGACCGGCCCCCCTCCCGCACATTCGACGACATCGCCACCTCAGCGGGCATACGCTCCATAGATTTTAGCCAGTACGTCGACTTGGCACCGTTAACAGTTCACCCACGCCTACCGCTAGAGACGGTTATGGAGATATTTAAGAAGATGGGGCCTCGGGTGATCCTCGTGGAACATCGTGGGCGTCTCTCCGGCCTCGTTACTGTTAAGGATTGCTTGAAGTATCAGTTTAAGGTTGAGGCGCAGGAGCATACCGCGTCTGGTGTTGGTGTTGGGGACGATGGACATGGTCATGGTCATGGTAGTAATAGTGGACTTGGTGAGGGGATTGTTGAGCAGAAGGCTTGGGAGCTTATTCAGTGGGCGACGGAGAAGGTGGCCTTTTGGAGGAGGATGGGGTGGGGGAGGGGGAGGGGGAGGGGGGGTTTGTTGCGGCTGGGATCCTCGCAAGAGGAGAGAGATTGGAGACGGGGAAGTGGGCATGAGGCGAATGAGTGGGATGGGGAATTATTGCAGTCGAGAACCTCGTCGGATATTGTGGATGGGACAGAGGAGTTGGAGGGGTTTGTGGAGCTGGAGGAGAGAGGGAATTAGGTATCCGTGATATCGTATGTATGTATGTATGAATGAATGAATGTACTATATATGTACGTGTGAAATTTTTCTGGACTAATGGCGGGGAAGAAGGGCTTTTCTTCTTTTCTCTTTTCATGCTCTGTTGTATTCAATTGTTGCTAGGCAAGGCCCATATCTCGCGCATTTAGATATTAGGCTCTGAAGAGGTTAGAAATTGTGGGAATGCTAGCCCTGAGTGATATATAGACATCTTAACATATTATATAATAATTTTCCAACGCACATATATGGACTCGCAGTAGTCACGACCTCTATTTATTCTATTTCCCTTCAGCACAAACCGACCGAACTACCAACTCCACAAACAAACCCATCGCATAGAGCAAAACCCGCCCACCAATTCATCATCCACTCTTTAGTTAACTAACTCACCTCCCCCTCGTCCCCCCCTTCCCCCCCTTCCCTCATCCCCACAACCACACACCCCCCCCCGCCATCAACGCCGCACCCACCCACCACAACCCATCCACCCTTTCCCCAAAAACCGCCATCCCCAACAATGCCGTAAGCAAGAAATTCGCCGTCGTGTTCGTGATGGCCACTTTTGTGCTCGACGCTGAGGCCGTCAGGGCCCGCGTGAACATGGCCCACATTACCCCGTTGGAGAGGATGTTGAGGGCGAAGAAGAGCTAGTTATGGTCAGGTTTAGTCTTTTCTTTTTCTTTCTTTTTATGATTTTGGTGTGGTGGGGCGGGGCATGGGCATCGTGGATTTGATGGACTTACGGCGCGGGTTATATATTCCGCTATCCTCGCTGAGGAGGGAGGGAGGTTGAGGAAGTGAGAGAGAGTCTGGGAAATGGTGGCTGTGAGGTGGGTTGTAGTCCTGGGTGTCATGGGGGGGAGGAGTGGTTAGTTCTGTAGCTTCAACGTATGCAAAATAGAGAGATATATGGTTTGATGCCAATTTCGGGAGAGAATCATTCCATAATATTTATTCTGATCATTCTACCTCCCCCTACCGCCCCTAGTTTTGTAGTTGTATGCAAACGCCACGCGCGGGACGAGAGTAGTATGGGCGGAGAAAGTTCATGGATTCCTCCATTTATATACCCCTGTTCCCCCCTTTCTATTTTTCTCTATGTAAAAAAAGGGGGTGTCCCCAAAAAAACAAGAAAATAAACCTTCTAAAAGGAGAAAAAAGAAAAAAAAAATCACCTACAATTTCGCAAACAGCCCATTCGTGGCAGCGAACAAACCGCTCGCAATGGCTAGAATGACCCAGTTGTACGCGGATGAAGATGGGGATGGTGCGGCCGCATTTCCATTTCCATTCCGTTTCCGTTTCCGTTCCCCTTTCTCCCGCTCAATGTGATCTTCCTTTCGTCTCCCCGGTATAGATGGTGATATATCGTCCACATCTGCTGAAATATCCCCGGAGCTGGTACTTTGGTTGTTGAGTCGCCGGCGAACCATGCTGGGAATGGTTTGTTCCCCGTAGTCTGATGGGGTTGAGTGAGGTTGTGTAAATGGGATGGATGTAGTCCGTTGGCGGTATGTATTCAAGGATATATATATGTATGTAAGCAGTAGCAGGTAAATTAAATTTAAAAATTTACACTGTTAAAAAGATGGTAAATGAAGAAATTCCCAGAGTTACTCTATGGGAGGAATGTCGAGTGATGGCAGTTGGTATACATACAATATGTAGACTTTATTCGCAGATGAAAGGGGGCGTTTAACGCGCTTGCCGCGTTTATACGTGTGGGGGAGGGGAGCCAAGGTGGACTAAATGTAAAATATTAAATATTATTGAAAAGGAGATATAAGATGTATCAGAGATGAAGTGTTTTATTTCGAACTAGGAAAATAAAAAAGAAAAACAGTTGCTTCCTCTCTATATTATCCCCAGCTGAAATTTTCAAGCACGGAGAGGGTTTTGTATAGTATAGTTATAACGGCTAACAATAACTAACAATAATAATATCATAGAGTTTAATATTCGTCAGGAAGCAGGTTGTACATGCTTCCTAGTAGCCTGTTGAAGCTGACCTTGATGACATATCCCGCGTCAAGTAGCCTTTAGAGCAGACAGACGCGAGCGAGTCGGTATTATGATTGACGAAACACAGCTATTCAAACGAACCGGGATGCGCTCAATCAGCTAAAAAGGATGATTATAAACTGATTAGAGCCCGGAGCCCCCCCCCCCCCCCTTCCTCCTTTTCCCCTTACCGGTCTTATTTATGGCGACAGCCGCTGAATCCTCCACTTAAACGCCTTCGCCGTCTCGTCCCCCGATTCCACCTCCCCATGAACCCTCACATACCTGAACCGATCATGCAGGCGACTCTTCCTCTCCTGCCAAAACTCCAACGGACTCCGGGACAATCCGATCCGGCCCAGAACGTCGGGAGGGGATTCTCTTTCCAAACGGGAAAAGCGCGCTTTCTATCGCCTTTTTACACGTCCGTCAGGATCGATCGACCATCATCGTCGTCAGCATTGTCAGCATTGTCAGCATTT